TGGAGCCAACAGCATGGAGCAGTGCACCCTTATAGGGCTGCATAGCTTCGCTGATACTGATGAGATCTCAAATACAGATTTCAGATCTCTCAATCGCTCCTCAAACAATGTCGAACAATCTGATCGCCGTTGTCCCCGTCCTCGACGGCTCGAACTGGTCGCTCTGGTCCCAGCAGATGAAGGTGTACCTCATGTCCCAAGGCCTTTGGGGACACTGTGACGGTACAATTATTATGCCTGATCCTGTCGTAACCACCTACAAGGACGGCAGCACCAGTGAAGATACCTCTGCACGAGACGCCTGGAGACTGAATGATACCAAGACCATCGGTACAATTCGTCTTCGATGCTCCCCTGCCGTTGCCACCCTTATTCAAGACAAGACAACGGCTATAGAAACCTGGAAGGAGCTCAGTTTCACGTATGGTATCTCATCTCTTGCCTCCATCTATAACGAACTGCGTGGGGCATTAACTACCAGGATCCCGGCCGACCAACATCCCGCTCCCGCCTTTGCCAAGATCACCAAGCATTTTAACGCTTTGGCTTCTGAGAACCAGACCATCCCTAACTGTCTCCAGGGATTGATCTGTCTGAATGCGCTCCCTCCTCGGTATGACTCTGTCGTTCAAGTCTTAGTCCAGGGATCGACATCGACGATGGACATTGACAAAGTCCGGGAGGCTGTCGTCACTGCCTGGGAGCAATCCCAGAACAAGAAGACGACACAGCTAGGTGCGCACAAGATCTCGGCGGTGAAGCGTAAGCCGGGTGATCCCTCCTTTTCTTCGCAGCAGCAGCAGCGCCCTCAGGGCAGCAGCAGCAATGCGCGAGATGGAAAAAAGCGCCCTTATCGCGGCAAGCGTGCAGGCAAGAAGCGTCAAGGGCAAAACCATGATCACCACCATGCCCACGACGTCTTGATCGCCTCGACCGTCTCCCTTCCTCCTCCGACTATCGCTCACGTCCTCGACATTGCGCCTACCGGCAGCAAGACTCGGACGGTTAAAGAGCAAGGCCCGTTCCACCCGCCTCCTTCGGCGGATACCAGTCACTACAACAACAAGCGAATCAAGAAAGCCTTCAAGCTCGCGCGGGACCTCGACATAAGTCCCACCGAAGAAGATATCAAGGTCTTGGACGCTCTTGTCGGGCAAGTCGATCTGGACCCGGATATCGACATGGAGGATGCCGACTCTGTTGCCTCCAGCCGCGCGTCCAAGCGCGCTCGCTTCGAAGGAGTTGCTCGCGCGGATGACGCTGTGGACAGCGACCACGACGACAACCAGTCTATCGACTGGGGTAGTGACAAGGACCAGGGGGAGACTGTTAGTCTCGGCGACGAGGAAGACCTGAACCGCACTATCGCGGAGGCTGCTGGCTTTGACCAGAATGCCTTTATTGACGAGCACTACTCGTACGTGCTATCTTCCCCTTTACAGGACTCCACTGACGCGCCATCACAGTTAGGGCAGCGTAGTGTAGATCTTAACTTGAGTCCTGTAACGTTGGCTTTAATATATTGCACTCATGCGCAAACTTATGCTGCATGTGCAAAATGTAAGGGGAAAGATAAGGCACAACAGGGTAACACCTGGATCCTCGACTCGGGGGCCTCTCGACATTTCACTTATGACATGAGTGATTTTATCGACTTTGAGGAATTTAAGCAACCTGCGACCGCGTCTACCGCGAACGGGTTTGCACGAATACTCGGGTTTGGTACGACTGTCCTGAATTATTATATCAAGGATGTCGGGAACATAACCACTCGGTTATTTCCAGTATACTATATACCTGACCTGAATATTCGCCTCATGTCACTCGGCGTATTGCTCCAGGATAAACTAAAAGTGTCTGGCAATGACCGACACATAAGTCTATACGAAAAGGGATTGCGCGAACCTTTATTCAGGTTTTTACCGCGGCAGCCCGGCGACACTATCTACAGTGTCAGTACAATTCCTGCACCGGATGCGTATTCTATATTCCCAACGATCTATGCGGTCGATTATGGGATTATGCACTGTCGCATGGGACACCCCTCTAAGGAAGTCCTACGGCAAGCAAGGGAACACACCAAGGGTTTCCCCACCAATCTGGAGTTTCCTTCGGAAGACCCAGTATGTCCTGGATGCGCGGAAGGCAAAATGCCTTCTAAGGCTTTCCCGCCATCCACTCTATGGGCTAAAGAACCGTTTGAGTTGATTCACTCGGATCTTAAGTCTTTTCCCGTAGACTCCTACCATAAGTATCGGTACACAATCATCTTCTTTGACGATTACACCTCCTATGGATGGGTCATGCATATGCGCTCCAAAGGTGCTGCAATTGCTAAGACTCGTCAATTTCTTGCCTACGTACAAAATCAATATGGCAGGAAAATTAAGGAGTGGATGTCCGATGCAGGGGGAGAATACAAATCTGATGCATTCATCGAGATGCTCAGAGATGAGGGCATAAAAATCCGACAAAGCGCACCTTATGCGCACCAACAGAATGGTCGCGCTGAGCGCTTTATTTGGACTATAATGGACAAAGCGCAGTCAATGCGGCTAGAATCCTGCTCACCTCCATCTTGGTGGGAATTTGCGGTAGACCATGCTGTTCACGTCTACAATCGGACCCCTTTGAAGCGCCATCAATGGCAGACTCCTTATGAGGTCCTGAACAAGGAAGCTCCTGACATCAAGCACTTACGTGTCTTTGGATGCGGAGCGTATGTCTACCTGCCTAAGGAAACCAGACCCAATAAGTTATCGCCTAAAGCTGAGCTGATGACTTACATTGGTGTCGCAGATGGCGGCCATGGCTTCAAGTTCATGCGTGCCAATAATAGTATAGTCACTCAGCCTACTGCGCTGTTTGACGAAGCTATGTTCCCTAAATGCCCTAATACAAAGCGACGGGCAAGCACTAGGCTGCAAAGTGCGCCCAAACCAGCTGACAGTCAACCAGACAATTCTGATGATGACTGGATCACTGATGACGATGAGCCAGACTCACGTCCTCCTCCTAAATCCCAAAAGGGGCCAGGCCAGGATCGTGACGACGAACCTGCGCAGCCTGAGGCGCGAGAGCCTGAGAACCCGCCTTCTCCACCTCCGGGGGATCCTGCGCCACAAGATGAGCCGCGGAGACCGGTGAGAGAATGGAAACCAGTAACTCGCCCGGGTAATATCTACGGTGAATCGCGGAACCCCGTAGAAACCTATCGCGAGATTGAGTCAGACAAGAAGTGGAAGGATTTAGTTGGCGAAAAACCTAAGACGTCGCGCATACCTCGCCAGTCCAAGCAGAAGCAACAGGTTCCCGGACCTAGCTCTGCCCCTCCACCTCGCGACCCTCCTGCTCAATCCCCGGGTGCTTCGCATGAGCCAATCGCTCCTGAAGCCTCTGACCAGCGGTCTGAACAAGACGCTGATGAGTTACTTCTGGCACAGCTATGCCGGGAAGGGGGAGTACCATTGATTAATTACCTGCTTCTGAAGGCTATTTCGCCTGAGGCAGATGATCCAGACACATCCAATGTCAGAGAATGGACGTACCGCGATATCCTTCGCTTACCACCAGAAAAGCAGAAGGAATGGAGAGCTGCTTGCCACGAAGAATTGGATGCACTTCGTCGGCGCAGAGTCTTCGACTTGGTTGATCGCCCTAAAGGGCGTAAAGTCATAAAATGTCGCTGGGTATTTGACGTCAAATCAGATGGACGTCGCAAAGCGAGATTAGTCGCTAAAGGCTTCTCGCAGGTTGAAGGCATAGACTTCGACCAAATATTCTCACCAGTTGTGCGCTTTGAGACAGTGCGCCTTATGCTCGCGCTAGCAGCGCTTGAGGACTGGCACATATCTGGACTCGATGTGCGCAATGCCTATCTCTATGGCAAACTGGATGAGGAAATTTATATGGAACAACCTGAAGGCTTCGCCGTAAAAGGCCAGGAGCACAAGGTTTGTAGACTGCGCCGTGCACTCTACGGACTAAAGCAAGCGGGGCTTGCCTGGTGGCGCACACTTGCTGAGTCTTTGGAGAAATTAGGCTGCAAACGTCTAACTACCGATGCTGGCATCTTCTTATTTATTGCCATTTTCAGAAAAGTTGGCGCGGGCGTTTCTCACGCCTCTTTTCGTGCTCGTTCGGCCTCGAAACTGCTGCGATTTTTATCTCGCTCAATTCTGCACCGATTGACCTGGAGAAAATTGATCTGGAATCCTTTCGTCAAGCGCTAGGGCATGGTGCGCTTTACAGGCGATTTTATTTACTCTTTCCACCCCGGTATGTGGACAGCTCTTCGAGTGCTCTTGTGATTTTTAATCGGACGGAGAAAGGGTACTGGATGGGAAGGAGGGTCTCAGTAGGTGCCGAGGGATGTTCTCGAGGGCAGGGTGCAAAATGTTGGGCGGAGGAGGAGGCTGTGAGGGCTGCATACTGAATTTAGGTTCTCGGGAGGTATTGCATCTCCTGCAATTTTTTGTACTTGCATTTTGTAGTCTTCCTAGTTCTAAATTACAGTAGTGTATATCCAAGATGTCCCCCGAGACATTGGTGCATCCGGTGGAAGAATTGGTATGCATGATTGGACTTACAACTCTCGTATGAGTG